GTTACATGATGCTCCTGAATCGATTAAAATCGACCACGGCTTCTCAAAGCCTTTTACTGTCGCCTCGGCGACTAACAAGCCAGGCTTGTATCCACGCTCTGTGCTGGCTGGCACAGCGCTAAGTGGGGCTAAGCCCTGTTTCACTTTATCTCGTAGAGATGTGACAGAACTTAGTTCTACCCCAGTAGGGCGCCCCGCGCCTACTGGGTGTCGACGTTTCCCCGTGCCATACCAGGTTTCTGGTTGAGGCTGGGGTTTCGACTCATAGGAGTCGGTTGTTGCTTACGCAAGGGACAAGTGGGACGCAAGTGTTTAGTGCTTCCGCACGTGTAACAGCGCCTCACGTCCTGTCGTTGCTCCGCAACATGAAGCTCCGCTTCGCCTTCATCTTCAGCATGGCTGAGATCCATCGGTTCTGGCTTACAGTAAGCCGAAGCCCTCCCGCCCTCGCAAAGCTTGGGTTGTACCCATTCCAACCAAGTCTGGCCGACTTGAAGTTGTGCTCAGCATTTTGAGCGACGCTCACAGCTTCCTCGAAGGTAGAGGGATGAACCCGAAAAACCTCGGTTCTGGCCACGCCAGTGCGGAGACCTTCCATGAAGACTGTCACGTAGACAGTCTCAGGGAGAGGGTCAGACTGCATAGCAGCCATTAGAGTTCTCAACTCTTGGACATAGTCCGTTAACTCGCTCTTACCCTGACGGGTAGACAAGAAGCGTGAGCGCACGCGATATGCCTGGTTAGGCGGCGAGAAAACTCGCATGAGGTCTAACTTGAGCGATTCCCACGTGGGAAATGCCAAATTGACCGACGTGCCACACGTCAAAGCCCACTCTCTAGCTCTACCATCGAGCTTAGAGATGGCCAAAGAGACCCGCTGGTTCTCTAGTGAGATGAGACCAGAGTCCATGGCCATCTCAATCTCACGAATCCAGAGGGTCAAGTTCTCCCCCTCCTTCCCGGAGTAAAGTTTAACATCTACCCGAAGGGGACGAGGCTTAGCCTCTTCTGGTGGCATAGCCACGTAGCGTGTCGGCATAGCCGACGCTACTTGGTTTTGAACCTGGCCCAACAGGGCCGTTTCATACTGCATAAAGGCCTCGACTCGTGCATTGAGCACATCGGGACCCTGTGCAGCTAGAAACTCCACATACTCTAGGCCTACGGCCGCGGTCAGCTTATCAAGCGCGACCTTTTGAGCCTCAGAGAGGGGTGTGGATTGCTCCATCCTCGCAGAGGATCAGTCGTTACCGACTCAGGTGTAGATTGACTACGAGTGCTACCAAGTGTAGCGGAGCTACACAGCTCCTTAAGTCAGAGGAAGACTTTACGCTCAATGAGCAACTTTGGTTCAAAGAACCCGACTCAGAGAGTCAACAGCTCAGAGAGCTTAAAGGTGGTTCAGAGAACCCGACTCAGAGAGTCAACAGCTCAAAGAGCTTACGGTCCCTGTTCCAGGGGGACCAAACGATTCAAAGAATCGAACGCACTAAGTGCACAAGGAGTAGCTGCCTTAACAAGGCGTTGCTACTTCCTTACGATCGCAAGACGCCTCAGAGAGGCACGTGTCTTTTGTTGATCAAAATGGGAACTGAATTTTATTTCTTCATTTAACCTAAAAGAACACCTTAGAACAACGTATTTAACCTGCCCTAAATAACCTCTTAAAAGATCTTGCAATCAATTGATGACAGACACCAGTCTTCAACAATTGATACGCTCACTGTGTTCTAATATTACCTTATAGGGTACCCCCCTCTCGTGTGTGCACCACACCTATCGTCGGCTACCAGCCGACGTGTAACCCCGTTACATGACTGGCGTCGATCAAAGTTAAACTAGGGCTGATATATATTTCGTTTATTCGTACTTTATGGTCATGAATAGTCCCTCATCATAGAGACCAGCAACACACTAGAGCTGTGTGTTTGTTATTAGAGAAACCTTCGTCGAGAGACCTGAAAATTGTCTTGACGTTGATAGGTCAGCAAAGCGTTTTTTCTCTACTGACGTCGACTTTTTTACGATCCGCTGCGCTGCGTTTACAATTTGCTAAAACGTCGGATCCCCGTATAATCCCCTTGTTGACCGTTAAAATCGATACGGACTGTTAGTCATACCGAATCAAACACGTCGTTTAATACTGAAGTTTCATGTCTCTGACTTCAATTGCATTTCTACAATTTCTTGTATACGGGAGAAGTAGTCTCCTTCTGAAGTTGCCCTCGACGTAGAAGATGTCCAATAATCCTTCATTGATTCTTGATTTCCGCGCTCCTGTCATCTTGGAGGATAATAGAGGTCCCGCTTATCATTATCCTTTTACACGCCGCCGTTCTCCTGTTCCTCTACTCAGATTTCTTGTTTTGCATATATATATCAGGTGGAGCAGATAGGTGTTGACGAGACCATTTGCAAGATCCTGCACGAACACATAAATAAGCGTGTGCTCATGAACTGTGTGCTGGAAGTAAAATAACTCGCGAGGTGCCGTATCAGCTGATCGTAATTCTGCACATCACGCTTACACTTCCTGGATTTTTGGAGATCTGATCTAGCCCTGAACTCAGCCCTTCGCATCTCAAACTTCTGCATGAGCCGTGTCTTGTGGACTTTTAACGACCCAATTGCATATGATAGCAAAGATCGAGCCCTAAGTCCCAAGATTTAGATCTCCCAGTCGAGTTTAACTGGGCGAATGCTACCTCATCCCATCGTCGGTTGTAATACGGGCCCATATATACTGTCCAACTCGACGAAACTCCTAGAAAAATGACTATCAAGAATGTCTTATACTCGGATATGTCAATCTCCAAGCTTTCGGGTCGACGTTTGTGCTTCAGCCTAGCAGTCAAGCTTGCATTTGCCTCAACATATCTATTATTGAGCACCGTGTTAAATTTACGGATCTGCCTAATGAGAATCTTGCTTATGAAGTAAGGTTACAATTCCCATTTCTGCGTCAAGTTCATTTTGGATGAGCCTGGAAATCGCTGCAAGCTGCCCGTCTCCTTTCAGGACAAACAACATGTCATTGACGGTAGGCCCGCCAACGGTCGAAAGTATTCGTCCGCCCGCTGTTCATCCGATGTCGCTCAGATGTGCGTTTCGTTCGTGCGTGGTGTGAAAGCTATACTTCGAAGCATCCAGTATATTCATGTCGGACGGCATGTCCGTGGTTGGTAGACAAACTGCATAGTGCAACCAGGTATGGCGGGGCCTCGAACGCTTGTACCGACACGATGCCATCTACCTACACGGACACAGTGCATGCATATTCCCCGAAACCTCACGTACACGTACGTGTTAAGGAAGGTATAACCCCTTTCACGAAATCATAGGAAAAGTAAAGCCGTTGATAGATTAATAGAATAGCTACCAAAAATAGACCTCTTTGGTCTTACTTTTTATACTGTTTATAAAGCGAAGAGGGGTTCAACTGAATTGCTCTTTTACCCACATGACGAGGTACATACTACTTGATACTGATCGAATGAGATAGTGTTCTGACTGCCCCAATCTAATGTCAATTGTAAGTGGCGCGCTGACCCCGTTACGTCGACGACAGGGCCTCAGATGAGACAACTCTGCGCTGAGACAAAGCAAAAGCGGCTCTAGCACATCCTCACCTCAGTATATCTCACCCGACTATGCAGAAACAGCTACGCAACGGATTTCCGCGGATCGGCTCACTATGGCCACTGTCGCATCAAACTCGATTGAAAGGCGTACACTTCCGGCAGCTCCGTTTAGGAACCTGTAAAGTTTAATCTTTTCCAGAAAACCTACCACAATCGTGTTAGACGTTGAAGTATGCACTTGTGCAAGGGATGTGGATAGTGAAAGTAAATTAAATTTGGTGGTAACTACCATCGTCAGTCAGCCTTACCATATGCAGTTGACCAGCAGTGCAACTTGACCTGGTCAGGTTGCACGTGGCACACATCCAGCGTGCCCATCACCATACGCTGGTCCTGGTCCCATATGACGTCCGTATATCGCTCTCCACTTAGCGTCGTCCGCCTGGTGGTTCGACATGACGCTCGTCTTCTCCCGTTCTATATGTCATCTTGCCACGTACTTGTCCCATCAGTCAACTCGCTAGCCACTCAGATGAGGTCGTTTACAACCTGTAACAGGTGTTGCAGTCGCAACCTCAGCTTCAACATCCTGTCAGAAACACTGTCTTCTAATAGATCAGATACCGGGCACATCGCCGCTCATCTCCTGGCTCAGGACATGGCAGAGGTCTTGCACTTGCTCACCAGTAGCTTGGCATACGAAAGATATCTCACCACATGTAGAGACCCACCAGACCGAGTAGTTCCCTCCTCAGCTCATACGTACAGCAGTGTGGGCGTCTCGACTCGCCGAGCTAACAACTCACGTCGGAGCAGCTGTTTGCTCGCCGTCGTGTCAGGACATGACTCGTGCGTACGAGATGTTGCACAGGGACGACGTCCTGCATTAAAAAAACTCGAGAACTCTGTACCCGTCCCAGCCACACACATCCTCTCTGCCACATTCAAGTGACTACCGACGCACCTGCAAGTAAAGTACAGCTACCATAACGTGCAGTCGGCTGCAATCGAGTCCGGCAGCTGCTTGATAAATGCAGAAAATGCATATTGCTAATGCAAACCTCAGGACGCGCTTGGCGTCAAGCTGCCATGTACGTCCGTCACATCTTCTTGCGGCACTTGTGTGGCAATTGTCCTTGCAACGAAGTAGCGTCAGTAGTCGTGAAAACGCTGCGGCGGTCGCACCATGTACACTTGTGAGACCTCATACGTGCTCAGCTGCCATCCCACACACACAGAGCTACAGATACCGACCACCAGCAGTCAAACATGCGCTGACATCGCAGACAACAGTCCGACAAAAATGATGGCAAAACAGCTTTGATTCCACACAAGGTCTTCCAACCGCACGAGCGGTGCCCTGACAAACGCTCTCGAGGTCTTCGAGACGCCAGCCAATCTGTGTCTGCTCCTTTGTTTCTAGTTCTCGTCGTAATGGTACGGATCGACATCACCATGAGGCGCGAGCATCTCAGCCGGCAGCGTCTCACCGTCCACGGGGATAAACGTCGGATATGGAAGCGGCGCCGCTGGCTTCTTCTTGCGAGCGTCCGTCACACGGACGATACCGCCATTGTTCCCGGGGACACTGCCCTTAACGTAGAGGAGATTGCGGTCCACGTCAATCTTGGCGATCCAGAGATTGTCGCGCGTGACACGATTGTTACCCATGCGGCCAGGCATTTTCTTGCCCTTGAACACTTTTCCCGGATCTTGGCACTGACCCGTCGATCCCATGTGGCGATGCGTCTTGGAGTTACCGTGTGACGCCGGCTGACCTGCGAAATTGTGCAGCTTCATGACGCCCTGGAAGCCCTTGCCCTTGCTCGTGCCACACACGTCCACGTACTGGCCAGGCGTAAAGTGGAGCGCAGACAGCGTCGTTCCGAGCGGCAGCAGCGCGTCTTCTGACACGCGAAACTCTTGCAATTGGCGCTTGGCGGGCGCCCCTGCTTTGGCCAAGTGGCCCAGCACGGGTTTGCTCACGTTCTTGGGCTTGCGGAGCCCCACGCCGAGCTGCAAGGCACTGAAGCCGTGACGATCGGCCGTCTTCACTTGCGTCACTTGGCACTCTTCGACGTGCAGCACCGTACAATTGTGCCGGTAGCCAAAATAGTCCCACACGGGCATCATCCCAATCTTAACGGCCAGTACGCCCGTGCGCTTCTTCGTCGCGTCCGGCGGCCCGTGCGCAGTCGCAGCAGTGGCGTCCGCAGCTTCGTTTGCAGTAGCTGCAGCTGTCGACAGGGACGACGTCTGCCGGAACGGGCGCGGGCCGTTGCAGCGCACGAGCGCCGTCGACGTGCGCCACATGGTGATGATCTACGAGGAGCGCCGGAGCCACTACGGACCAAACAATGTAAAATACGGGCAGTCGAGTGGGACTTCTCGTTTTAGAGCTCGTTAATCGCTTCGAGCAGCTGTATGCTGCAAAAATAGCGTCGCGAAACAAAGGCTGCACGATGTATTTTAGGTTGATTACGTTCAGTTGTCAGTGAACAGCGCTGCTGCCGAAGCAAAAGCTGTGAGAACGTGGAGAGAAAATGCCAAAAGCAGGTTCAATACTGACCGACACGTTGCAATGATGGACAAGTACCACGCGGTCAGTGGACGTGTGGAGAGGTGGGTTTTGCTTTTCGACCAATGAGGTTAGCGCGTTGTGGACCCACTTGGCCTTGGCCTCATTCGCACACGATGCAGCTGCGCTACTGCCTCGTGGCGCTGCTGATCGGCGCGTACTACGCGTCCGCGGCGTCGCTGGTGCTCCACGTGGTATGGTACATGGCCACGAGGCTGCTGCAAGTGGTGATGCTGTTTGTAGGCGGAGGCGCGTTTTGGTGGGTGCTGCGCTCGTACCAAATGCAAAAAGAACAGGAGCTTTTGGACCACGCGCTGCTCAAGTTCCAGTTCTACCGCAAGTACCGCAACAACCGCAGCAGTAGTAGCAGCAATAGACTGGATACAGAATCTCAGCAGACGCTCGTGCGCAAGCGTCGGTCGGTGGTCGCGCATTTGCGCACGTCGTGGCACTTGCCCTCGGAGCTCTGTGACGCTATTGCGGCGCTTGTGCAGTTGCTTGTGCAGGACTACGTTGACGGCTGGTTCCGAGAGGTATCGCTGGATTCGGACTTTTCGACGGACGTCAAGCTGCTGCTGGCGGATTTATTGGGCGCACTCGCTTCTCGAGTGCTTCAGATTGATCCGTCCCAGGCGCTGACGATCTTCGCAAAGAGTCTCGAGCTTCTGAGGCTACATCTTGGCTGGTTCCGGGAAGTCTACGCACAGCTGGCGGACGAGTACCCAGCCGTGTTCGAAGGCGACGAGAACGACGCGAATCTACGCAAGCGTCAAATGTACGTCGCAGCTTTTGTGCAAAATTCGTCGTTTGTTCATCCAGGCTGTGTGAGCACGGAGGTTTCTGCGTCAGAGTCTAGGCCTGGACAAGAGTGTGGTGGCAAGAAGAAGACTGGAAACGATGCCTCGGACGCTTACCTGCGGCACGTAGCGATGCAAGTGTTGACTCACTTGAAACCTCAGTTGGAACAAGAGCAAGACACGAACGTGTTTGTATCTATGGCCGTGAATTTGCTGCGAGAAGTGGCTGTTTTCAAAATCCTCAAGCCGTTGTCGGAGTACTCGCGACCGCGGTACACCAATGAGATCGTGGTATCCTGCTTCCGAGCGGTCGTGGACAACAAAGTGGTGGCGGTGCCAATGTCGCCGGGCATAACTTCATTGGGAAACGGTGTGGGCAAGGTGCCAGCCATGACGCTGAACAAACTTCGGTCGACATCTAGCATCCTGTACAAAGCCAGCAGGCGCAGCGGGGAGCATGCAGAAGCAGCTTTTCAGGCAGTCGTAGAGGCCGTGGCAAGTGCAGCGTCCTCAGCTGCTGCAGGTGCCGCTGAAATGGTACATGAAGGAGACGACTGGAACGACTTGGCGAGCAATCCATTTGCGTTCGGTAGTGCTGTGTTTAGTGCCAGCTCAAGCAGTGTGATTGGTGGCAGAAAAGCAGTGCCGTCAATTTTTGGTTTGGATGACCGCCTTAGTGTTGCCAAGACTGCAAGAATGATGAATCCCCGTGGACTACTTCCAGGTGGGCTCCTGTCGCACAAGATGACGATTAGCGAGAACAGTCGTACGAGTACGCACATGGATGGTCTTATGATGAATGCAAAGTCCAACATCGGTTCGAGCTTGAATTCGTCGATCGGCAAAGTCAAGAAGCGCTTTCGCACCCTCGGCAACCATCAGATGGATCCTCTGTCCACCCCTCCTCTCAGCGCAAGCGCGGGTGCGGCAGCTCGAATGATTCGCAAACCAGGGCAGCTATTTCAAAAGGCTTGGAAACGGAGTGATTCGGCTACGAGCTTGCGGAGCTGTTCATTTGATGGCGGTGTATCGACACCCACGAGCCAAAACCGAATTCGCAGTCGTACCCGTACTCTGGACTCGCTCAACCCTCTCGTGAGTCCGATTTGCAATGGCGATGAGGAAGAGACAGCTTCACGAATATTGAGCAGAAGTACAGGCATAGCGGCAGTGCGGGAACGTATTGTCACTTATTTGGAGAAGGCAGTGGCAGATTACACAAAAATGCATGATGAGTGTCCCGGAATGCGTAGTTCAACGCGCTCGCGTGAGCTGTACGATCTTCTCTCTGCGATGGAAAACGTGCTAATGCTGGGCTTTCGTGGTCATGATTCAGAAGACGAAGATGGCAACAGACAGCCATCCACGCCCCCTTTATCTCCAGTCGTCCGTCGATGCGCTTCTGAAGCAATGACAAGCGATGAGCTGGCATCTCCTCTTCGCGAAAGCGTGGATGCGGATGGGTACTGCTTTTCGGATGGAGAAGCGCATGACGATCAGTACTACTGGGAATTCCTTGCGCGGGACAGGCCAGCCGCGGCAATGCTCAACGCGCATTGGCGATTTGTGATGTCCGATTGTCCCATTTGCATTCCGAGTGAGTCATTTATATCCACGCGTGGAGTTCAGTGGCTACTGGCTGCAATTGCAAAAGGGTCCCTGGGTACTTTGTGTGCGCAGCTGTATGCACATAGCGACGTGACGGAGCTGTTCTACGAAGACTTTGCACTACTGCTTGATAAGAGTTTCGCGGACTCCGTGCTGCAGACGCTACATCAGCTTGACAGACTCGACGTTTCGCTGGATGTGTATGCTTTTTTGAACAACCAAAGTAGCACGGATCACGAGCCTGGTGTTTCGCCATCCCATCAGTGGCAATCTGGAGCCGAAATGTCTTCAAGTGCTCCTGATTGTGTGCTGGAACGGGCATGGGAGACCGAACGCCACGTTCCTGCAAACGGATGGGTAAAAACGACCGATAAGCGGTGGCAGGAACTCTCGTCATCCGAATGGATTTGGGAAGAGGATTGGAGGCTTGAAAATTCCGGACACGATTCAGAGGAAAGTCCAGATAGCGAGGCAACGGGTCCTTCCTGGGAGTATGCAAGAAGTTTCGAGGATGAGTTTCACGAGGACGAGAACGAGTTTGACCGCGTACGGCGCCGGCGGTGGGTACGCCGACGACGTCATCTGTCAGCAGGTATACCTCCGTCGTCACTGCCGACATCCCCGAAGGATACCGGTGTGTCCTCTCCCTTAGCATCTTTTGCTGTTACGAATCGAGTTGATAAAACAAGAAAGCAGGAGCAGCGCTCTAGTGCATCAAGCCGTGAGCAGAAGAAGAACGGAGGGGTAAAGTCGGTGATGGAAAGCCGATTGAAGAGTTTTGGTCGAGTGGTAATTGACACTTCGACGAGACATTCGACATTGGGAATGGCCGATCTGGACGATTTACAGCGAGCATCGACAAAGACTTTGGCCTTCATGAAAGCCCGCGCGTCCATCCCTTCGTTGCGGCGTGGGATCTCCAGCATCAACATGAAGTCTCCAACCAGTGATGCTCAATCGCTCACTGCGAAACAGTCCATTGACGAGAACCTTGCAGTTTTGCATGGCGAAGACAGACGCGAGGGTGAAACGTTCTGCAGTCGCTGCCTTACAGCTCTCTCATTCTGTAAAGCAAGCGAATGTACTTGCGGCAGCTGCCACGAACGTGTCTGCGCTTCATGTCTGAATTTTTACGCGTTTGTCGTCTACCCTCCACCTCTCGAAAGCTCGAAGAAAGCGCGAGTGTGTGGAATTTGCTACGACCGGCTGGTGAGCAAATACAAGCTGCAAGTCGAAACCCATGTAAGCAAGTACCGGGCCAAGGAGTGCGAACGCGAGACACGCGATACGTCTGGCTTGGATGCTTTTGGCTGCTCTACCGAGAACGGTAGCAATGGTGCGTTCTACCATTCGCTTTCTTCGGTCAATGGTGGTAGCTTTTCAGAAGGCACCGGCAGCTCCGCAGCAACGGGAGAGGCATCCTGCTTTGTGAGCCCGACTGCTGGTCAAGACGATCAAAATTTCGATATCACTGTTCAGGTGAACGGTAACAGTGCGTACGCCTGGAATGTCGTCAGGACCTTCCACGACTTCGAGGTGCTGGAGAAACAGCTGCATGACGAGCTTGAGAAGCAAGAGGTGAAGCATGGGATGGAATGTCGGGCGTGTCATTTGAACGGTGTCGATTACACGGAGATGACCGGTATCAGGCCGTCTCCTAGAACGATTGCGGTGGTAGCGTTGACCTACGAGAAGCGGTTGTATATCGCCGAGCACTTCCTGCAGCAACTGTTGGCGTGCGATACACTGTGTCAAAGCCCGGTCGTGCAACAATTTCTTCTGCTTTCCAATGCATTTGGCACACCTCATGCGACGGGCAATTCATCATTGTCCGTACAGGAGACTGATGATACGTTGGACGGCATCAGTATGTTGGCTAATGGAAACCCAACTTCTCCGTCAGCAGCGTCTTCTACTGGGTACAGCGCGTTGGATAACATGGCTGGAAGCCGAGGAGAAGCGGACGGTGTTGAGGGTACGCTCGACGACAATGGCACGTGGCGCAGAGAGCGAAAGGTGTCAGCGGATGCAAACTCGAAAGCGACTAAGATGCGTGTTTTGCAACAGATCGAAGTGAGCCTCTTTGCTGTCCTAGGCGAAGTGTTTGAGTTCGATGGCATCGGCGTGGTGCGTCGTCAGATCTTCTCGATGACGCGGTCGTTCATCAAGGCGTTCCTCGGTGCCTCACACTTTCGGATGCTCGAGCGGCAGTTGCTGTCGTTCACGGATCCACAGAAACTTTCAGGCTGGATAAGTGACCTGCGGCTGTATTTGTTTCCTGATCCGTGCAGCACCGACGTCGCTCGTGCCCACCCAGCTCCCAACATGCAAGTGCTGCGCAAAGAATGTCTCGAAGCGATCCTTTCTAGCTTCCCGTCGAAAGCGCTATCACTCTTTGGCGACACGGCATGCGAGAACGCAGCACTCAAGCTGCACGAGTTTCTGCAACACGAGGTGTTTGTCAAGAATCTGCTCTTTAGTATCACCGACGAGCTGCTGTTGCACCTATTTCCATACTCGACCACGTTCCAGGGCAAGACAGCTTCAGACGAGACACGAGCACCACCAGCGCCCGCGTATTCCAGTGCAACAGAAGTCGCTACGACCGTCTCGAAAGAAGCCATTGCGGCTGCACTCATGAATGGCACAGTAGGCTCAAGCACACCACTGTCGACAAGAAACACACGGTCAGCCGGCCGTCGCAGCTCAAGGTCCGTGACGCAAAGCACGTGAAGTGGCGTTGGAAGGAATTGACACAATTATGTTGACGGGTGCGACACGACGGCCGCCGCGGTCGGGCGTTTCCGCTTCGTGCTGCCTTCCTCCTGGCTATGGATCGACCGCTCGAGTGCTGCCAGCTTTTGTGCCACGCGACTTTTCTTCTTCGTGCGCGCGTGCTGATTGATCTCCTTGAGACGCTCCTTCCCGTGGGCCTTGACGTCGGCCAGAGCCAATTGCGTCCCGGCCTGCAGCACGCGGCTGGCCATGATGTTTTCCAGGTTCTGATTGATGAAGCCCGTCACGGCTTTGCTGCCGTGATTCTTCATGCCGCTGCAGCCTCGACGGATCTCTGTCGTTGGGTCTATAACCGGTGATACATACATGCAGCACAATTGGATGAGATTCGATTCAACACGTGCAGCGCAATTGAATTCAATTCAATACGTGTAGCTTCGATTCTAAAGCAGACTCAGGAGCTCCTCCTGAGAGCGACGTACTTCCTTTCTTGGTGAACTTAGCGGCCGACTTCTTGTGCGAGTAGCTCACGGCCTTCTTGGACGGCTTCGAGCCGCTGTTCTTGACGCCCTTCTTCCCCTTCTTGAGGTACCCACTGCCTTGTGCCATGTTATCTCGAAAATGGTTTGCTGTTGACCAGTCACGTTATTGCTGCGCTGCGATACTGAGCGACTTTTCACTGGCATGAAGTATGCCCATACTTTCTCAAAAGTCGCTGCGTTGGACGAGATTTGGCTGCGACGTAAAAGTCCTTTTCGTGGTATTTGATGCCAATGGGACAAGTTGCGTGAGCGATTTGTCACGAGTGTTGGAGGCCAATGTGTGTGTCGATCGTATATGCAAATGAACAACAATGTAGCAGCAATGCGACGCACTCGGCTGACTTCTTGCTACAAGTTTCGCTTGATTTGCATCGAAGTGTCACCCGGAACAGTGGCAGGTGCTGCTTGTACAATTATCTGCTTGCTCCAACGAATAGCCCACGAGCTGCCGTGCTGGCGCTTGTGAATATAAGCGGACTCGCTCGAGTTCGCTTCTCAACCGCGCGCCGGTAGCATGACAGTGCCTCCCACTTCATACTACCAGCGCCAGCCAGCCACCTGAGTGCAATCGTGAGGAAGCCTGTTGTCGCGATGTCAAAGCTGTACGCATATTGTAGAGATTCGTGTACCGAGCAAAGAGATGTGCTGCAAATTGCGCTGTCCGACAAGCGCGTCTAAGTCTACGCGCCATCGCGCAATTGTGTCGAGGCTGCATCGGTAGAAACCAAAGAAATACGATGCATAGAATGCGCCATCAAGTGCCGCAATGGTATGGACGGCATAGTTGCGCTAGTAAAGACGCGCAAGAGTGACAAATGACTCGCGTGAGATTCACATTTGAGCTGACCCGAGCACCGCTTTGACTTAGTCAGCACAAACTCGCACGTGGTGGAGTACGGAAGCAAGCGTCTTACCAAAATGAAGTCGCCAAACAGGCTCTACGGCGGTGGGCAAAAGCAACAAGCGCACATGACACGGATTTGACTGACATGACCCAAAACCCCATGAGCACTGACAGGTCGATGTGCGAGACGTCGGCTCGCTTGCAACACAGACCGCCAACGAAATGCCTGCGACGTCATCGTGTGTGCAAATATAGGACAGTACACTCGATTTGACAAAAGAACAGAAGAGCAAAGCATTGTATCGCGTAATGGTCTGAAAAGGTAACATTACAGCATGCAAACTACATCTGTATGGCCTTTGCGCGGGCTTCGTGTGCGGCATTGGTGTGGAAACCCCACGGCAAGATGACACTCACCAAAAAGCTATCAATAATAAGACCTGACAACATATGCCAAGTGTCGACGATGGCTCAGCAATTTCATGAAGAATACGTCTAGTTACATCCGGTCTTCCACTATTGATTGTGCTCTTCGCTGCAAGCACAGCTGACACGTGACCAGTTTGTAGCGTACCGACAGGTACATGCGATTGCGGACAGCAGCATACATGCAACACGGGCAAGAGCGCACGTCAAGATCGTGCCGGGAAGCAAACATTAGGCCGTCGCCGCAAATGGGTGAGCTTCATGACCGCATTTGCGCATGTGGATTCGTGTAGATCGTGCTGGCATCCAAACCAGACGGACGAGTCAGTCTTTGGCCCCACTGCTCTCTGTGCACGTCAACACACTGCACTAAACCTGTAAGCGAGTACGTGTGTGATCCCGTCACTCAAAAGTCGTCGGCGCTGTCGCCTCACTTTGTTCCCCTCTCAGCGTCATCTGATTGATTCCTCCCACCGTTCTCGCTCTAGTCGATCGCCATCTGTCCTGTCGCGTCGTAGCGTCGTCGTCTCTTTGCATCGGTTCAAGATCCAGTCCCCATCACTGGAACCCGCTCGTCCATTGATTGATACCCTCGCGACGCGCTCACTGCCATTCTCCATTTCCCGTCTTCCCGAGTGCACTGTGGTGCCGGCAGCCGACGGTGTCGATCCATTTGCATTCATTGACGTGAGCTGGTAGAGAAAGTAAACCATGAAGGGCCTGTCCGCTGTTGCCGTCGCGGCCGCTATGGTTGAGACCGTCGGCGCCCAATTGTCGCCACCGTCGTTCAACTCGACTTCCAGCAGTCCCGTGACGTCTTTGCTCAACACACCGTCAACTGCTTTGACAACTCGTTCGTCGACCTCTTCAGGCAGTGACTTTATGGGCTCATTGACCGCTGCGTCGTCTACAGCCGCAAAGTCGGACGCGTACCACATGACGCCCGTACATGTCGTGCAGGTCCGTGTGCAGAGCGAGATGCCCGTGTGGAACAACGCGCTCGGGCGCTTTGTGTCGTCGTTCTATGCCGACGCCAACGAGGCCTACGTGGGTCTCATGGACACGGTGAACACTGCGTCAGTGGAAGGCGCGCTCATGTACGTGCAGGCAGAAGGCATCAACTACGCCACGCGGTCGAAAGCCGATCGATGCACGCGCAAGAACGAGATGGCGTACATTGTCTTTTACGAGTACGCTATTGCCCAGCCAAACGAGACGCTCGCGCTGTACCAGGACGTGGCGAGCCAGCACGAGTACGGCCCCATGTTGGCCATGGACTCGGGTCGCTGCACGCCCGACTCGAGTACGTCGTCGGGCGACGAGGCGTTTCCGGCGGCCTGCTACTACTTTAACGGCGACGAGGGCGAGCCCGAAGTGGGTCCGTTTGTGGGCGGCACGACAAAGGAGACGGACCCGCGCGCGCCGTACCCGCACACTGTCTGGTACTCGTTCCCGCACTCGTGTCCGCTCAGCGAGTGGGGCGACAAGTCGACTGCGTGCCGCGCGAGGACGCGCAAAGGTCTGTGTGACATGGGCGTCCTGCCCGACGGCGTCAGCTGCACGTTTGCGTACCGCGTGCTGGGGTTCATATTGATTGACGACCTCGTGGGCATTACGTCGATGGCGAGCAACACAACGGGTGAACCGTATGCAAACTTTGCTGCGTTTTGTCACGACGGCGGCGTGGAGTTTGAGGCGTCCGAGGCGGGCGAGTGGATTGACAGCATTCCGTTTTGGGAGAACCCGCAGGACGAAGAAGCGAATGCCGAGCGCGCGGCACAGCTCGTTGAGGCCTATCACAATTTGACGACCGGTCGGATAACGACGTCTGGTCTGGACCCGAGCATCATTGGCCACATGCTGCCCCTGCCGTCGCCCGAGGAGCTTGCCGCCGAGAACCCTGCGTGCTATTTGAATGTCGAACAGTGCAACACAGAGGCTGGCTGCAAGCGTGAGCTGTATGGCTCGACGTGCACAGTCTGCGCGTCAACGTCGGACGGATGCGAAGCTCCACCGAGCGACTGGAAGTTTCCGGCTCTGGCAAAGGCAGTGGGCGCGAATGGCGGCACTGGAGACGCCTCGGCGGGTGGCGGCTCGTCGACGAAGGGCTCGTCGCCTGGTAACGGCGATGATTCCAGTGGCGCGGCGAGAAGCGGTGTATCGCTTGCGCTCGTATCAGCAATGCTGGCTCTGGTCACGGCGTTGGGTGGCTAAATGCGCGCGCTACTCTGCATATGAAAGCAGGAACGACGGGCGTTGTGCTACTCGCTGCGTTGATGAACGATAGACCTTTTGGATTTGAGGAACGAATGTTGTCGGGTAGACCTCCTCGATGATGTTACCGTAGACATTGTCGAGATGATGGGGGCTGAGCTTGTCGAGCCGGCGTCAAACTCACTGCATTTGCACGTGTCCGAAAGTGTTTGGCAAACACTTACACGCCCGAATATGGTCATGCACACATACGTCTCTCGCGCAAGATGAGTGTTGCGACTCGAGTGTCGTGATGATTGAGCTCTTGGTCGTCGTCACGTGTCAATTGTCAGCATCTCGACGAGCAGAAACTTTGCAGCAGCAACTGGAGTCCGCGTAAGGACAATGTACTAGCGGCACACAATGCGGCCTGACTTCCAGAGTGCTTACAAAAGGTTTGTGCATGTGATGTGCGCACGTCGTGTGCGACTGCAGCACGTTTTCCTTTTTGTATCCTGTATTCAACATCATGCTCTCCCATAGAGCCTTTTGCTTCAAGCATCGACATTGGCCGCTCACACGCGTCGATCCCACTTCGAGACTGTGCGTGACACTTCGCGCCACTATGGAGCAAATCTCATCTGTAACGTCGCATGGGCCGCTCGTCTTTGTTTGTAGCCCACGACTAGGGAGCACGACTGGTAGACACATAGAATCTGCACGTGGGTAGTGTGCCAAAGACTGGCAGCGACAGAAGAGGCGAGGCGTGCGCACATCGATATCCTGAGAGAGCATGTAGCTAGCAAAATGCTTCGTGGTTTGTCAGAGCCGAAAGGAGGAGACAGCGACCTGATCGTTTGTATGTCAACTTGACGTCAACACAAGTTGATCCAGCAAAGTACGTGAGCGAGCGTTGGCAATCTCGAGCAACGGTGATCCAAGAAACACTGGATACATGATGTGGGAAGTCATCAAATGCTTCCGTAAGGGCTGTATGATTGCCACGCACACGCGCGTTGCAAGCGTCGGTTAACGCAGACAGTAAGCACGCGGCTCATGTCACTGCCGCAGTTGAGAGCGAACGCACGTCGGTCAGTGCGTGCTCCAGCCAAGAGGACACGAAACAACGACAGTCGCTTTAGCGTCTACTGCCAAGTTGTCCTGCGGTCGGCAGAGCACTTTCACAAATGCGACTGCGCACGTCCAACACGCTCTCGATCTCGACATGGTACTGATCGGTGTATCCACGTGTCGAACCCTCGTGGTCGTTCGGTTGAAGTAACGACCACTTGCGCGCGCTGGCCGTGCGTGTTTGCGCAGTTTCACCCGCGTCGGAAGCGCGCGTTGATGACCCAGAGGCAACATCAACTTCAACGTTCCGTTGGCCCGTCGACGTTCGCGCGTTCGTAAGTGCGTATTTTTGCTGTGGTGTTTTGGTCCAAAAGGGCGCAAAAGGGCGCAAACTTTGGACCAAATCCGGGCCCGTGCGACCACAAATGGTCCTCTTCCTCGTGGCCGAGACGCTGCGGCTGCTGGACCTGTACAAGGCGCTGCGCGACGACCCGCGCAACGTGACGAACAAGGGCATTTTGCTCAAGCAGCACGCGCGCGAGGAGCTGACGAGCGCGCTCAACGCGAGTTTCCCCCGCGAGCAGCCGTGGACCGAGAGCCAAGTGGCCGTCAAGTTTAAGAACTTGCGCAGCGAGTACGTCGAGCTCAAGTGGCTCAGCAGTCAGCCAGGCTTCCATGACGACGGCGTGGGCATGAGCGAAGAGTGGTGGAAGAACGTCAAGCGGCTCCGGCCCAAGGCGAACGCGTTCCGGGGTAAGTTGCCGTGGATCTTCGAGCCCAAGATGAAGGCCATCGTGGGCCCGCAGCTGCCGCCGCAGCCGCTCGCGTGGACGGCCGCAGACGACGACGTCGAGAGAGGAGAGGAAGCGGACCACCAGCAGCAGCAGCTGCAGGAAGCGACGCCGCCGAGTGCGGCAGTGGCAGCGGACGTGGCCGAGTCGACCGCAATGTCAACTGCTGCCATTGAGAGCGACAAAGGGGAAGCGCCTGCGCGCGCGCTGTCGCTCAAGCGCCCGCGCGAGGCCGACCCGAGCAGAGCCAGCGACGAACGGGCAATGACGTGGGGCCACGTTGCCGACAGCGACTACGACCGGTCGCTCGCCCGGTCCGTCGAGCAGAGTTCCGTGGCGGCGGCCGGGATGGCGCGCGGGTTCCAGGACCTCACGGCGATGTTCCAGGAAGAAGCGGCGCGGTGTCGGGCGCTCGAGCAGCAGGTCACGCGGGACGGCGGCCGCGACGCGCCGTTTCTCGCGGACCAGCGGCACGTGTTGCTGGCGATCGCCAACTCGCTCGAGCACAGTACGCGCGCGACGGCAGACATGGCGAAAGGCTACCGCGACCTCGTGGGCGCGTTCGTGCGGGGGAAGGCCGACGCGGACCATCATCCGAAGCCGTCCGAGTCGGACGCGAGTGTGCAGTCGGTGACTGCGTAGGACGCGCAGGGAGGAAGAAGGACAGCAGGGCGCGCGCGTGTTTGCAGTCGAGACGACACTACTGTGTCGGTGCGGGTCGGTGCGCAGCTGACTGCACGGAGAGCGAACGCGAGGGGCGAGTGGCTTCATTGAAACAGCCTCCGAGCCGCGCGCGACTCGTGACGTGGGTTGCTGCACGACGCGTCATGTTGTGCGGGCACACGACCGTTCGATCGGCAGCTGGTGGAAGTGGCTGTTCCTGCAGAGGAAGTGAGTGAGCGGTGGCGTTTCAGGTTAGTGCATCGCGTGTGGCAGTATAGGAACCAGGTGCACCTCGGGAAGCGCACTCGTGGATAGGATGGTCATGGCGGATGGTTCGTCAAAGTGGCTACATTCATGCCGATACAAACAGGCGCCTGTTGGATCGCTGGCTGCTGCGACGTTTTGCATTTCGCGTACCCACTTTCGCGCTCTCTCTGTCTCTCTCTCAGCTACAGATAACGACGATTTACTACTTACACGACAACAGACGGGCGCGTTCAGAGACTGGACGGCATAAACTCAAAGCTTTTGCAACCGTTCGTCATCGGCGGCGCGTACGGCGTAACAGCGGCCGTCGGGTACGTGCCCATGTAGTACGCGTCGTCCGTCAGCGGCGGCAACAAACAGTCGATCCAGTCGAGCGGCTCTCCCTGCGCTGCGCCGTCCGCTGCTGTCGCGTCGTAGCTCCTACTTGCGGGGTACGCGGCAGCAGCTGCCGTTGCGTTGAAGCCACTGAAGCGTCGACTCAGCTGGGCGAAGCGGCCGCTCTCGTGCGGCTTCAGCAGCATCAGGTCCGAGTCCAGTGCGGAGGACGAGCCAAAGGGCAGTCGACCGCCTCGAGCGTCGTCTGCCAGCATCAGGTACGGACTGTCTGAGACCGGATAAGACGTCGTCGGCGGCAGCACTGCACCCGACTCCTTCTTCCAGTACGGCGCGATCGACGCCCGCGCTGCAGTGGATCGGTACTTGTTGAGCGACGGCGGGCTGAGCGACTTCTTCCGCGTGATTCGCCACGCGAGTTCCGGTCGGTCGCGCAGGAAAAAGTCGTTTGAGAACGTGCAGACAATCGCTTTGGACTTTGTCCACTTGCGGAAGCTGAAGTAGTTGAGCTGGCGCTGGAAACTCGTGTACTTGCAGTGCTTAAAGTACTTTGGCAGCACGTGCGCCATCATCGCGTGCATGTCGTGGATCTCAAAGGCGCGGCCGTCGGCTGTCCAGCGCAAGACAGCAGCGCTTTCGTCCTGCAGCATGCGGCGTAAGCTCTTGAGGAACGGCGCGACCTCACGTGGCGGCGCTGTGTCGGTACTACTGTTGTTGAAAGGAGGAGGAGGAGGACGCGCGAGGTACTGCATACTGGCAAAGGCAGTGGATGTGCGGGTGATTTGGACGCTGCAAATTCAAACCTGAGCGATGGAGTGCAGGCAGAGAAAAAAAAAGAGAGAGAGAGAGATGGACAGAGGCCTTTGAACACGACGGCGGTCTTAGTGCAATTGCCCGCCTCGGGGTCAAGCAAGTGCTGGCTGCGTGAGGGATCACGCTGACACACGCGACGCCACTCTGACGTATGCTTCTCGGTCCATCCTCGGCAGGGACTGACTGACTGACTGACGGACAGACGGACTGACGGACTGACTGCCCGTCAGTGACAGGAGGAGTTACACACGACTCTCGTGCGCGTGGACCACTGCCGATTTCTCTGGAGACCGCCTCCACCAACGTGCACGGCAACAGAAGAGCCCGTGCGGGCTACCCAGTTGCACACGACGCTGTGTCGCTCTGACTCGGTGCGACTATGGAAACGCCCCGGCCGTGGATGGCGTCGGGGGGGGAGCAGCAGTCGGGCAACGTCCTGCTTTCCTCTTGTCGTCGACGTTGCGCTTTGCATCGCCACCAGTCGTCAGGACCGCCGTTGCCATACCCCACGTGCACGCAGTCATCATCACTGCCTGCCTTTTCTGCTCGCCTTACAGCTAGTTAGCTGTTAAGCGTTGTAGAAGGGCCGGATGGGCACACTGCGATCAACGTGCCCAGCGTTTTGTGGGCACCGAAACGCGAGTTCCTCTGACCAACTAACTTATCGACGGACAGATTGAGCCGTCGACCCTTTGTCGATCGTTCCAGGAACCGACGCTACTGACAGCGACCAACCAGTACATTGCGCACGCAGACAGGTGGGGCAAAACGTCTCGGGGGCGGTCGTCCGACGAAGTTGACAGCAGCAAACCGTCGACAAGGGGACTCGTTATGTACAATCAACCGCAGCCGCCGAGCGCCAGTGACGGTGCGCCGCTGTGGTTGACCGCGGGGAGGTCAGTCAACCACACAAGCGGTGCGCATTGCGCCCTGTCAAAGGTGTTGAAGGCAACTTCAACCGCGCCCCCAGACGTGACAACAAGACGTTTCTGCAGCACACGGCCGACTACGCACGGCAGGTCCGACCTGCGTCAACACCGCGCTGGCCGGGATTGTCGTGCCGTCACCGTATCCACCTGCTGGACCAGATCAGGCCTCGCTCTTGCCATCATGGCGCTCGCTGGTCGTGGCTCTCGAGACATTGAGCAGTCTATGCTCGAAGCAGCGCGAGCAGACGTTGGGTCTTGTGCCGCTTGGTTTACTCGTTTTGTAACGTCCAGCATGTTACCACACTGGCTTTGGTGGTTTGCCTGGCGACTCCCAAGTTGCTTTGAGCCTGGTCGTGCTGTCTTTCCTGTCTAGATTCTATCACAACGTTTGGGCTCTTAGTTAAGTACAGTGGTCTGTGACAGCGGCGACAGTGGCGACTAGCTGGAGCGTCTTGTCGTTCGATCCTCTCCGATAGTCTGTCAGCCCAGCAGTCACTTGCTCGGGCGGTGCAGAACAGTCCGCATACGGTCGTGTTTTGCGGGCACAGTCTTTGCAATTCTTTGTCCATTCGTGTCACCTGCTTCGCCAACACTGCGGCCTTCTGAGCCTCCCTCTCTCACCTCGTCTGAGGTGTCCACAGGTCAAATACGAGCTCATGTGGTTCAGAGAGAGCGCGCCGTGTGTCCACATTAGACACTGCCAATGCCAACCAAAACGCTCTCTCTCGGTCTGTTGCTCTGCACATTGACACGCCTTGCGCACAAACGCACGTCTTCTTCCTGTTACGCACAGAAGCAGCTGCCTCCGTCGTCACATCTTGCTCTTTAGCTGTTGTATGTCGCGGTAAACAGCTTACCGCACCTACAGCTGCCGCACTCTGATGGAATGTCAGTGCCGTCGTGCTCTTCTGTCGATCCTTACGGAACCACCGCGGAAGACCTTCGTACTCGGATGCTGTGCACGTTTTCCCTCAGGATCCATTCCCAACTTCTCCGTCATTTGCTCGGACGTACTGAGCTCCACACTGCAGAAGCTTCTTGCCTCCTCCCACAACACAGCCGCTATTCCATTTCGAGACGTTGCGCTCGGTGCGCCACTGACCGTATCACCGTAGAACATCAACATCTACAAACAGTGAAGGCAGCAGTTGCGTATCCATTTAATGTTTAGCGCCCCCGGCTGTGCCGTTCATGAGATCAACTGCGTCAAGTCTGCAAACTTCGCCATACGAGACCCAGTGTGTTGCTTCCACGTCAGCTTCGCCGTCCAATCTTGCCGCTACGGTTGTCCTGCTTCCATTGATACCCACGTTAATGCCTGCGTATCCTAATTTGCATGTGACCAGCATCATGTTGGCATCGACGACGCGAGCAGTTCCCTGTACCTTAACGAAGCGGTCTACTCGATCGCTTCCGATGGTCAGTTCCAACACTTCGATACAAATAATCGTTTGCTCTGCCGATTGCATCCAAAGTCACTTTGCTTACCCCGCCATCACTTCGTCGATTGCCTTGGCACCAGTTGTACGACCATCGGACTTTTGACAATTCGATCGATCCTGCGGCAGGTGTCTCGTTATGCTGCATGCGGATGAAACTTCTATGTGACTTTGCGCCCCCTTGACACAATCGTAGAAAGTGTATTCTTCGCTGACAGACGCCAAACTTCAGCAGCACTGGTGTTACGTCTGCCATCTTTTCGTTGGGATGTCAGCAACTTCTGTAGACCAGACGTCTCCAGGTCAGTGTGCTGGGAGCGAATATGCCGACTGCGACCGTACATAAGGCACGAGCTGATAAGCTGTTCCGACAAAACACCCTCTGACTCAGTCGGTCGCATCCACAATTCATGCGGTGTAAGCTTCATCCAAAACTCGGTCACGACCACCGGGTGCTGCCGCATTGAAATACACGTCTCTGCAGCTACAGTGCACGTGGGAGTTGTAGCAAGTGACCGATAGCACTGCGCTGCTTTTTCAGACGTACACTGGCGACTTTTTCTTGTTCATGGCCAGCGTCGCATGCCGGACCGCAGCTGCGAGACCAGAGGTCTTCTTTGTCAAACACGTGGGTCGATCACGAGACTTACGCCGGTTGTCTTGCACAGAATGAGACGTCGACTTTTCGTTGCGAAAACGTCTTATGCAGCCTGCTGTCTTTCAAGATGCTTTGACGATCCTTGTCAATCCCGTAGTAGCACACCGCCAGCAACTAAAGGGTGTCGGTGGCCGCAACGTGTCTGTGCTTCCTCGAATGTCTTCTTCGAGTCATGAACTTACTTGCCAACCCGCTGCATCGAGCGGCACGTCTTTGTTTTGGACAGTTTGTCTGCTCATGTATTGCTTTCCAGCGTCCAGAGCTCTTAACTCCACCTCCAGCAAGTCTGACACCTGAGAGCGAAGATAAGTAGTCACATCCTAACAGGTTAAGGCCACTCAGTAGCTAATGTGGGTACCACTTCATGGGCCGCACCGGGTGGACACCCTAAGCTTCTTTCCCAAGATTGACCTGGTATTCTCAGCCCGTGTATTGCCTAAAGTTAACGTGCACGTCACGCGCTTGGCCCACCTATTTGACATTTGGTGAGTTAAGGGAGTGCAAAGAACTCGTAGCTGCTCGGCCAAGCACGGGGATGCTGCAATCGAAGTCTTGCAGTGACCTGGAGTATTAATTTGTCGAGACTTTGACGATTGCTTGCAGACGGCATTGACATCGCGACTCGAGAGTACGCCTTCTGTCGAGAGATAGCTGTCGGGTACACAAGACGGTCTTCATGTCGAGCGCTTAATCTTGAGAACAAACAAAGAGGGCCGAAGTTGTGTCAGATGTATCTATCCATGATGATGATTGAGCGTATACGATTCTTTTACGACGTCGATTTCGACGATCCTATCGACAGACGAACGTGCATGCGGTAAACGACCGTTGGCACAAAGAGAGTGATAGAAGTGATGGCTCGATATGCTGTCACGGCCGTTTGCGTCAGCTTAATCCAATAGCAACTCTAACAACTTCATCTTTGCCTCCACAATGGTCAATACGCTGCACACGTTGCGTCATCGGCGAAGTCTACACATGGAAAGTCGCTCGCGAGTGCCGTCCAAACAGATGGATTGGGCCAAGACGAGTACGCTTCGTCAGCAACAGTGATGCCAAGATCTTGCCACGATAGTATGCAAATCCTCGTCCTTTTGACCTCTGCTAGAAGCTGCTCGAGTCGAATCAGACCAGTCGACGAGCCACTTGCTCCCGTCTCGCTTTGGCTTGAGAAAGCGCGTTCGAGGGACTCTCTCTCTCTCGAAGCAGAGCAAGGCAGCAGGTGCTCAGCAAACGAGCTGCACCTGGTCATATGTCGAAGCATGTGACTTGAGCAGACGTCGAGACTCCCCGTCTTCCCCAGCGTCATCCAGTTCGTTCAGCGCCTCATCCGTCACATCCATACTGCAGCGTTTCTGAAACTGCGAGCTGTAGACCAGCTGCATGTCACCCAGCGGCAGTAGTCCATGTGGAACCTGAAAGCACAGAGGTACCCAGCTGTGCTCAAAGTGGAAAAACACCAGCGTCGATATGATCAGTCCAAGCACAACGTCGACCGTGTAGTGCTTGCGGCCAGCAACACATAGTACCGCCAGTACCGTAACATATGCCATGCCACACGCCCATCGCATCTTCGACCACGTATGACTGGCAAAGTTGCGGTCCAGTGTGCGCAAATACAGCAGCACGGCCGAGGTCGTGTACGCCATGTGGCCCGAAAAGATGAGGTCTCCACACGAGTTATACTTGCCGTAAATTGGCCCAACACTCGTGACAATGTCGATCCAAGTCGTGGGTGGGAAATAATCCGGACTTCCCGCGCGACAGTGGGGCGCTGGACCGGGAAGCGACGTCACCGAGATCGTCAGCATCCGCAAAAAGTAGCAGACTGTAGCAGTGCGAAAGAACGACGAAACGATGCGGCAGCGGTTCGCACGCGTCATCAGAGCAGTCTGCAGCAAAAACACAACAGGCATACCGGCCGTGAGGACGTCGCTCACGGGCCGCCACTTGGAGTGCAGCCCTTGCTCGGGAATGAGCATAAAGCCCAAGTCCCGTAGCGGCGTCGTCGTTGGTTCGTGCAGGTAGAACGCAATGTTGACCGAAAAGACCATCGCGAGAGACGTGGCGACAAAGATCTCGGCGTGGTCCATCATCCCGCGCAAATGGACGTCCACGCGCGAGCGCACAACGCGTCGCACGTAAAAGAACGAGCCCGCCAGGAGCAGCCACACGCCTCCCCAGATCGCGCGCGAGCGGTGCTGGTTCGGGTCCACGACAAACTTGAAGAACGAGACCCAAATCGTGACGCCCAGGCCCACGTCGGCCACCATAAAGAGCGCAAAGAGCACAAACCGCACGAGCTCGCGGTAGTCCACCGACTCGCACGACTCGCGTCGCGGGCTGCAGCCGCCCCCACCGTCCACAGTCGCGTCACCGGTCGCTGGCCATAAGTCGGCGTCGGTCGCGTCCAGCGGCGTCCAGGGACCTGCAGGGCCCGACATCTTTCGCTTCGTGCGGAGCGGGTTCGCCCGTGCGAACGGTAAGTACGACGTCATGTTCGAGTCGTTGGCGCTGCGGGTGCAGCTGCTGCAACTGCAGGTGACTGTAGGTGAGGTACAGGGCCGCGGGCGGTCGAGTGCAGCGCTGGGAGCGCAGGAGACGGGACGAGAGACCGGTCGCGCGGCCGTAAGGAGCTGCTGGCTGGAAGATGGCTGCGTGGAATCGCCCCGCCGAAATGCTGCGCGGGGATTGGACGAAATGCCGCACCGCGACGCGACGAGCTCCGGCGGTTGGGGCTCGGCAGACGGGCGCGTTTTTGTTGTGACTGTGTTTCGCCTGCCGCCGATTGGCTGTTTGGCCGTGACCCGAAATAGACGTCGGCACCGGCAGCCCTTGGCGCTTGTCCTGGCTTTGCTTACTACTACTGTACCACGACGAGTGGGGGAGAGACCCTGCTAGATGGGTACAATCGACGCGCAATGCACTGACCGCGGCATCTCAACGATCATGGCTACTTGTATGCGGTGTATACCTGTGCTCGTGCGTATACACTGTCGTGCGATCTTCGCAGTCAGGAGTCCTGCACGTTGCATTCGCAAAGTAGTCGATCGAACGACACGATCATATGCGACAATGATCGGTGGCTGCTGCTGCTGCTGGAAATTGCCTGTAGTTGGGACTACAGGTACTCGCTCTAGTCAGGTCTTTTACCTACGAAGGATACTGCACTCACTGCGTAGAGGAACAAGTGATATTAGCGATTGATGGCGGTCTGCATGTTGCCGGATCGATCGAGTATACTTGACAAGGCTTCGTCGCTGGAGGTCTTTCGTATACGTCTGTATAGTCGCTGAGCCAAATTCAGCCGAGCAGTGTCTGTTATTCTCGAGTGCACCACACACATCAGCAAACCACGAGCACACCCGAAGTCAGCCATCCAGCAGCGATGGCCTTATCAGTGCGTGCCAAGAACTTTCTTGTGGGCGGCGGCCTCGCCACGTTTGCGTCCGCCATCTTTGGCTACACGTTCCACCAGATGGGTCAGGTATGGGCACTGTGTACGACTTGATCCACAGCGTTTTCGTGCTTCCATGACTGTGCCTTCTCACACATATCGTCGTGTTCTCGTCACTACTTTTCTTGACAGGACGACTTTAAAGACCTGGACACGGTCAAAGTGAACGTTCACCAGAGCGGCATTAAGCCTTCGGCTATCGGCAAACAGGACGAGTAGCTGCTTCGATCGCTTCCGAGCTGAGGAACAGGACAATTGCACCTGATGTGAGCGCGTCTTTTGTAGCTTTTAGAGCAATAGCTCTGGAGGTTGGGAAGCAGAGGAGACAGCGAGAGGCATTGTAAGAGGGAGTTTACATGGGGGACGAAGGCGGCAAATTGTCAATGCATCGTTGGGTTGTACTTCTTTGTGGCACACATGCTGGGCAAGCACTAGGTAGGCCAATGTCCGGGCCGAGTTGGTCGGAGCTATGCCTATCCTGCATCGCGCACCCGTTCCAAAGGCGACAGACTCGACACTCCTAGCTCGATCTACACAACCCGCATGTCGGTCCATGTGCTTCACCGGAATGCAGCGGATCGCTGTGCAAGAACCTGTAATCGAACAAGCGGCAGCAAAGGAGCAGAATCGTCAGTGCACAAGAGCTTCGGTTGCGTGCAAGTCGGTCCATCCCGACGCCCTACCTTTTCCATCAGACGCTGCGACTTGACAGGTGCTGTGCTCTTGAGCTTCCGTAGGTTTTGTGCGGTACGGTCGGCCTGCGCGAGCTCCCGACGGGCCTCTTCCAGCAATTTCACTTCGGACCTGCCGGCCACTTTCTTGCTCTTCTGTCGGAGCTTCTTCCGGGCACTCTTGGACAACGTGGTATGCGACGTCGAATTCTTGTTCGTGGCCGATGAGCGCTTTGCCGACTTGCTCGTGTCTTCTTTCGCCGAGGCGCAGTTCTGCAGGAAGAGTTTGGTCACGCGGGCAGCCATCTGTCGAGCGTGTGCGCACCAGTCGTATTGCTGAAATGTGATGAAATGTTCGACCTAAACGAAAAATTTATCTCGTTACTTTCTCGCTTTGTACGACTCAAAACTGACGAAACGGCGTCTATCTGCATACCGGGCGCAGTACCACCTGCACGCTTGGCGCACATTATCATCTGCTGCACACATCGCAATATACATTTACATACTACGCACTGCCACGCGCCAGACCGTCAGATAGTTCCAAACACTGCACCAATTGAACTAAAATTCGCCTTTATTCTCCATCGCATTAAACCAGCGAGCAACGAGTATCGGTCGATCTCGCCGACAACAAGAACCCATGACTTCCTGCACCGCCAAGCTGTATAGCCCATGGACACACTTACAGACGGCCGCCAGCGCCAGCCATGGACTCCACGAGCTGGTCCTCCTCACGAGCCACCTTGGCGCCCTTCTCCTCGGCCCCACCCTCGTGTAGCTCCATCAGACGCACCAGGTCAAACTTGGGCTTCTTGAGGATCTTGCACTTGCGAATGTACACGTTCTGGAGCGGGTAAATGCCCTGTGTCGCCTTCTCGATTTCCTTGCCAATGATCTCCGGAACGAACTTCAAGAACAAGTCCTTGATGTCGCACTTGGAAGCCTCCTCCGTCATAATCGAGGTCATCTTCTTACGGATGGCGCGGATCTGAGCCGTCTTTGCGTACGTCGTCTTCTTGATCTGGTTCGGACGCTTCTTTGTGAACGCAATGCAAAACAGACGCACCAAGTAGCCGTCCGTGGTCTTGACGTCCACAAAGGCTTCAATCAGCGTCTGCCACTTGCGGATGAGCGAGCAGAGCTTGTCGCGCGTGAAGTCCATGCCGTGGAAACCAGTGATGATCTGGTTGCCCTGGATCTCTTCCGCGCAGAGACGGATCTTGCGGAACGCCTGGTCCTCGTCCTTGTTGAGGTCAGCGAGGCACACCTCAAACACACGGCCGCGAAGACCCTCCGACGCAATCTTGGTGCCTGCCGTGCGGTTTACCAGGGTCTTGCCGCAGTTGCGGTCCGAAAAGATAGCCGGGGCCTTGACATCGTACCAGTCCTTACGCGTGAATGGGTCGACGCTGTACATGCAACACATCCACTCTACATTAGCATCACCTCTTCTATATAAGGGCTACACGAGACAAGCTCGAGAAGCAAAACACGTACACTTTCTTCTTGCCGCCCTTCTTGCCCTTTGTCAGGCGTTTGTTTTTTCCTGCAGTCAATCAAGTGCACAATACATCAACGCATTAGGTGTCCGTTCGTGTGCTACTAATTTGCTCGCTCGATCTTCTCTCTCTCTCTCTATCTCTCTCTCTCTCGTTGGCCATCGAGTCCGTCGCCGTCGCTCATCGACCCCAATAGCCCATCGTCGCCTCTTTATCGCAACCCCCAACCCATCCCAACCACATTGGCATCCGTCAATATGTTGTGTCCGTGTCCAGAGACACCTAATAAAAGCTCATCGTCTTTCACGCTGTATTGCTGGTGACTGACTGTCACTGCTGTATTTGCATCGACTATGGGGGCGATCGATAGCTTGCAAGGGACGGACGGGCAACGACGTCGACCCGCGGCCACTGAGACAGAGACATGATCGCTACACTCGCTACGACCATCAGCTCGCAAGCAGGACGTACCGACAGCCATGGTTGTCTGTGGGTTTTCTTAAAGGCGAATATGGAGCTGCTCGGCTCGGTCGACGGCGATTTTGGCAGCGAATGGCTGGTGCTGCGCCCACAGGCCACAAAGCGTGCGGTTCAGTGAACCGGTTCACCGTACGCTGCCCGCGATTGGGACTGGCGGAGCTTTCCTGTACCCTGTGTTACCCTGTACCCTGTGTTACCCTGTACCCTGTGTAACCCTCGGTGGTCATGCGTGCACAACGGTTACAATAATGGCAACACACTGCCGCTTGTGACAATGGACGGTTCAGCTCGTGCAAGCAAACGAAAGAGCACCGGTCCGCAGGAGTGAGTCCACAAGAGTCTGTGTGCTCGTGTGCTTCACTATTGATATTGCCACTCGTCGGCGTCAGTGTCGAGCTTTGGTTGCAAGTGAGGACCGAACTATGTCAACGGCACTGTGTCGCCGGTCGTTGTTGGTCACGACACCGGCGCTTTCGATCCGTTACTGCGGCTGATACCACGTGCAGTCATGTCGACATTGGAGTGCATGACGTGCTGCTTCATGCTCCGTTGCGATAAGCAAAGACGTTGGTGGAAGAGTTACAGCGAGTGACGATGGGAGCAGATGCGCAAACGCTTCCATCGACGCGCGCACGAACGGCACAGTGGACCGCACCGCCGCGTCCATTGAACACGAGTTCGACGGACTTCAACTCGCTCAGCTGCTGATCCTTTTCTCAGTAATACCGAAGCGGAGCACAACACCGACAGACATCTGCAACGTGATATCGAACGATCGACTGCACTGCAATGCCGCGCAGTCACAACCTCTAACGTGACGTCTCTCCTTGCGTCTGCATGCGAGCACTGGCAATGCTGACCTCGATCCTTGTCCGTGCAGTAATGCAACGGACAAGGAACGACAGACAGTCCATTGTTGCTGCAGTTGTGTTGCACACGTGTACTGGTGCGAGTTCGTACCGGTAGCCACTTCGTTATGACTCCCGCGCAGCTTGTTGGGCGTGAATGACTTGCTGTCGAAACTCATCAGTGAGAAGGATTGTGTCTTGAGCGCTGTTCTGAAGTTGCTGGAGGTACTGGACCGCATCGGCCGAGCTAGCAGTTGCCCCGCAATTCTCAAAGCGCTCGTGTTCCACCAGCTCTGCGCGGACGTACATGAGCAGGCGATTCAAGTACCGCCGGTGTGCCACGGAAGCCTGCTTGAGTACCAAACCCAGCTTGGAGGGCTCCGATGCATCAGTTGAAGCGAGCGGGTTCAAGGCCAGAGGAGGCACAGGCTCCGGTGACAGAGCGCTCTGGAATGGCGCTGTCACTGCCTCTGGTGTTGCAGGCTGTCTCGCGCCTCCGTCATCGCTTCCTGCCTCACCTTCGAGCACTGCAGCACTCGCTGAATCCATGTGAGCAGACTGGTCCCCGTTTTCAACCTGCTCGATCTGCTGCTCTTGCTGCTGGATCTGGTGTTCATGGAACTTGGCCCCTGACATTGTCAAGAACACTTGATGTGGACGTGCAAAGACGCCGTGCTTTGGTTCACAGCGAAAGTAGTGCCTTCCTTTCACGCTGCCGTCGTTCTTGCCATGGGCTTCGTCCAGCTCAATGCCCACCCACGTTCCTTTGGCCCCCGTGATTTCGCCCAGATAGCGCACAAACCCAAAGAGCTCTCGATCGGAAATGCACACACGATCGCCAAGTTCCACGATCGAACCTGTCGACGTTCGCACTTGCAGTCCGACCGTCAGGTCTTCATCCACACTGGCATTGGACGCCGTGCCCGCGCCTCTCATGGACTCCCCCACGTCCGACAACAAGAGCGCCTCGAGTCGTTTCAGGACCTTGTAGTCGACCATGCTCATGACAACTTGTGCCCGCTTGGGGAACGCTTTCTGGAACGCCAGGAACAGCTCGTGCGCCTGCGCGCGACACGACGCGCTGGCGTCGTACAAGGCGTGCTGCAGCCCTTTTTCCAGCTGCTGCACGTCGCCCTTGTCCAGCAACGCGCTCCACGTGACAAGAGCGCGAAGGAGACACGAGATGCAGCACAGCCGAACGAGTTTGTTCTTGCTCGCGAGCAAAAGGTCGACAAAGAGCCGCAGCGTCGCGCCCTTGACGACCGTGTGCGCCACAATGGCCTCGAGGCACTCGCTGCAGTACGAGCCACAGACTTTGTTGCCGCTGCCGCGCACTTCGACGAGCGTGGGCAGCACGTCCCGCAGGAACGGCGCCATGGCGTCCCGCGTGACCCGCGAGACGGTCGTGAGCAGCGCACAGACCTCTTTGACGATCTGCGACCGCAAGTCTTGGACCAGTCCCTTGAGCGGCCGCAGCGTCTTCCACACGTCTGTGCTCAGAGCGGCAGCCACAGCGTCCGCAGAGGTACTGTGCTCGAGCTGCTCGAACGCGCGCTGCATCTCGTGGAGCGCCGCCATGCGCTCCTGCCAGTGGTCCGAGTGGCGCGCGATGCGGTCCATCTGACGGGCCAGCGTCGCTACGAGCGTCTCCTGTAGCAGTCAGTACATCAGTCGATACAGTCAATCGACAAAAGGTCAATAGGCGACGCAAGAAAGAGGACAAAGACACGACAGCGGTTGTCGCAGTGGGCAGTAGTGGCATTGACGTATAGAGGGACAGAGGCGCACTTTGCTCATCGCTAATGTGGCGGACGCGCGTCGGGTCTGAGGCGGTCAGTCTGTGCGAGCGCGTGGACGGACGCGGCAGGTGCAGTTCTGGAAAACCGAAGCTGCTCGCAGGATGAAAGTCGTGAACGATCCCTCTCAATTGGAATATACGCAGATTGCGCTCGTGCGACGTGCGTGTGGTTAGGTCTGGTAGAGAGTCGGTGGGGGTGGGGATGATGGATGGCGGTCTTGCATGTACTGAATTAAGGTACTCTGATCCTGCTGGTTCTGTGTGAGGTGGCCCACATTCTTCTGGTGAGGTGTTTTCTTGTGTACTTGACTCAACTATTGTAGTTGAGCGGTTTGGTCCGTAACAAAAAAAGTGCGTAGCTGATTTTTGACAGTCGAAAAGACTGGAAGGGTACACTGGCAAGCAATCGACCTTTTCTGTACAACAACCTACCAGTGTGCGGTGTATGACATTTGAAAAGAAAACGAGCTTTGACGCTTGCATCTTGCACCCTTTTCGTACGTGTCTCGGGATGCAGCCGTAAGAATCGAACATCGAGTACGCATCGCTAGATCGGCACTTTCGGCCGATTCTGCACCCGGACACGACCATACCTAGGATAGCGGTCGAGGTTTATTGATTATAGAGCCATATTTTGCACGGGCGCTGTATAAAGGTCAGTGCATTTACCATATCGAGCTATACGCGGCGGATTCCTTATTTGTTCGTATGGGGGGGGGGCCGGTTGTTGCTTGGTACAAGACTGAACTGTAAGGTCACATCGATTGGCTTATGCAGCACGAGCAGTTTATAAAGCTGCAAAGCCAAAGTGAGTGCCGAAAACGTATAATTTCTCTTTAAACGCAAAAACAATACACCCATTTGTTGTTACGAGAGACAATACGTGTAGCAGCTATGAAAAATATATGCGGGTTTGCAATTGTCATGCAAAATTTTGGCTTTTTATCGAAGGGCGAATGGTGCGGTAGTTGGCTTGATTGCCATAATATCGTGTCACACATTTTGAAACCAGCCGTCGGTCGCCCATGCTGGACGCCGCAATGAGGCAAAATTCGCAATCGATGTACGACTGAAGTGAATAGGAAGCAATGATTATATCGAGAAGATGATTCACGAGTCCATAAAAGAGCATGGCGCTCATCTCAAGACATATCTGCTCCGGCAAATCCGCTGCTATCATCGTACCACTGATAAAAAGCCCCGAGCCGCTAAGAACCATGGAATAGTCGCACGACTCGCCGAGCCACCCAATAACATTGTATGGCTCTGCGAATCGTACAACTAGTCTTAGCATCATTGTTTGCCCGGCCGGCCCTCAAATGCCTCAATATAGATCTAAGATGCACTCTCCAGTCACTCGAATATCTGGATGCTACTGCGACCGTTCTCAGTGTCTAAAGTTCTTTACATTTATTCGGCTCCAACGTTGCACAAGCTTACCGCCCGACCGCTGCGAATTTTCCACGTCGTGATACTTGACGCCATACATGACAAACGGCTACCACATGCAAGCAACCTTATGTATAGCAAAGAGAGGGTACCATTACAAAGCGGAGCTCCTCGCCGACGAAGCAGATGCAAAGATATTGGCGACGCTACTTCTGGAGGTTTCACACAATATATCATGCAAGATGTCAGCCAGAGATTTGTCGGTACATGTAACACAACTCGATGTCATTTGCTTTTAGCTGTAAGTAATTGAAAAAACAGCAATCTGTGCTGCATGAAGGTGAATACCAAGCTTATTAAAGCATCAGGCAGCCTACAGAGCGTGCTACATTGGATTCTTTCGCTCGAAAATGAGCCGGCGATCATAGTTTTAATGATGATAGCAGCTGTTCACCTAAGAATCACTACTACGAAAAGAGAATTCTACTAGTGTTTAAGCCATAACATGGGTCGCTGATGCGTGTACTGATGTAATACAAGCTACCTACACTGACCACAGGATGGGCAGGCTCCTCAAAATCACGTTCACGGTACTTTTATAGGAAGATGAATCTGCGGTCTAGAAAATAATATCAAAGAGACTGCTTTGTCGAGCGCGTGACCAGACGCGATTCGGGGGGGGGATAATGGCCCCGTCATCAGATTACTGATCCTAGAAGTGAGATTGTTTATTTTTGACCTAGCATTGACTTAGAACCCTTTCAAATTAGTGTAATGACACGCCATCACACTCACAACTACTAAATTTGGCAGCTAGGGCGTCGACTAGCATTGGAGTGCCCGCAATGACAGATGTATTCCCAACGTCACTAAACAAGAAATATTTGTGAAAGGGAAAGATAAATTGTATTAAAATAATAATTTATGCTCCACAGATGTATAGCTTCTCTTGTTGTTTGATCTATGTAAAGTACCTTTCTAATTAAGAACTATGCTCATTACTCATTGCGCGTTTCTAGCAGCGAACGGTGGTGTTATTCGTTCCTTGACTGTCAACATCGACAAACGAGTTGAGAAAAGCCAGATAACCCCGTCCACCTTTTCTTGTAAGTTGTTTAGCTATGCATATATTGAAGAATATTATCAATGAAGGCAATTGTCTCATTGACCCGTTTTTGATGTCAATGCCACGTAGCGGGATCATTCAGTCACCAACAAGCACAAGTATCTACCAAGAAGATAAACTATTGTGAACATTGTGTCCCCTGAAGGAGGCTGTTAGAAAGAGGAACGCGAATCAATTGACACATTGCTCGCGTCTGGACACGCTCGTGGTGATGCATGATGGCGTAGCCGATTCTAGCGCCAGCTTTGTCTAAAGATAAGACAAATGCGATTTGCTGATAATAATGATCTTATAGCTGCAAGGATGGGAATGTGTCGATGATCTATTTTTACGGAAGTCGACCAATCGATGATGTTTTTGTGGCTTGCTGGGTCGCACCGAGTTGCTTCGTACTCGACTTATGCGCAATACCTTCGATGCGATCGACAAATATTTCACTTTGTTATCAACTTCATTTTAGAAAAATAAACTGACCCATTGATTATGGTAGACTGGGTGCAGTGTCTACAAAAATGAATGTAGCGACACTAGGCATATACGTATATGAATATGTGGTAAAGTCATAAATCAATTTTGGGATGTGGATCGGTGACTACCCAGTTGAGACGTTTCTAACTGGCAGAAATCGACACTGGGTGATCTAGCGATCCAATAAGAGATGGAAGGTGATCCCAACGAGGCTCAACGAGCCAATCCAACTGTTACCAGGGTGATGGAGATGGGGCGATAGCTGAGACAAGGCGACAAACCAGAAGAATTTTCATGGAGCGATCTGGAACAAAATGACAAATAGAACGATTTCCATGAAGCGATCTGGGACAAGTTGCAGATACAGTATTTTTCACGGTGTGATCTGGGACAGAGGTGTAACATCCTGCAGATCGGTGATACTGTTTATAGGTCTCACAATGGGAGTACTGATTTTGGTTTAATATAGCCCGATCTGGAAGTGTGGATACTCGTGGGAGTCCAGGGAGTTATTTTAAGACATTTGGAGGGTCTCGTTGATCAGATAAACCCTGGAGGTTGGTACGGGAACACGTACAAGGAACGTGAGAATGTCTATAGCCGATTTGTACTGGATCGATCTCCAACATTTCGATATTGAATATCAGATCGGTCATATTCCCTGTTGATCATGGATATATCGTTGATGGAGCTATCGGATCATGATGAATATGTTTGTTAAAGGTCCATGAGTGATGTCTCCAAAGTTCAGACTGAAAGAGCCAGTGGAAGCTGGTTGAATTGACGTCGCAAAATGGATTTATACACATTCGGCATTTGGGTACTATTTCGGGCTATTTGGTACCAAAAATGGAAATTTGGTACCGTGTTTGGGATTTGGTCCTCTTTTGGCATTTAGGTACGATATCGGGAATATTGGCGCTATCTTTGGAGTACAGGTCATGAAATTTCGACACGTGTTCAAGGGGGCAGTCAAGCTTACAGGTGATATCGACTTGGAGAGTGACCTGCAGTTTGGAATAGGCTTAACGATAGGCTGGCTATTAATTTGGTCGGATGATAAAACAGTTACCGTTTTTACAAATAAAGCACGTCGCAGAATTTTCTTCCGGGCAGGATATTTGGCCTCCCGTTGATCAAGAGACTTCGCCGCGCCGTATTTCGTGCACTCACCTTGGATTGTTTGGCCAAGGTGGGGTTAAGGTAAACTAAATCAACTCAACTCAACTCAACTCAAACTGCTAGGGTATCAGCAAACAACGGTAAAGGAAATGAATTCTGGTTACAAGATCGCGAGACGGCTCAAGTGGTCAGAAGATCTGAACAAGAAGTTCGAGACAAGACCGAGCAAGATCGAAGCGATCTACCAGATAGATCCGCACGTTTCATTTTGGCGACACAGGACACCTATCTGCCCAAATTGCGCACTTCCGGCGAGATCGACCGATTCCAAGACCAGATCGGACCAATTTAAGGCAAGATTGACGCAAGACTATTTGTTGCTGAGTGAAGATTTTCGCACAGCGAAGACCCTGATCCCGAAGATAGATCGAGATTGGTGTGTTCCAAGTTCAAGATCGTGACATCTCAAAATAGAGATCGCCGTGACTCAAGACCAAGATCACAGAAGCCCTGTTCGTGGTGTGAAGATTTCCGCACCGGAAGCGAACTCTAAACCCCAAACCCTCAGCGAGATCGACATCTCCCAAGGACATTACGAAGAGCTCAAGCCAGTCCAACCGACGGGTACATAAAGGTGAGAACAAGGCTATACAACAAGGCACGGATCGGAGTACCCCCTCCGTGAGTCGGCAAGTCTGGGCAAGTGGAAGATCGACCCTCACACAAGCAATTTGGTGAGATCGACTTCACCGCAAATATATATAATAGGAAACTCTGTTAATTCTCTTAAGAGATACTAGAAGGTCTAGTTAAGCAATAGACAATGGGAAGGTCTCAATATGACATTGCTGGAAGCTTTGATAAGGCAGGAAGTGCTTCTATCATAGTGGCGGA